CGCATTGGTGTATTACTCAACAGAAACGGTCTTAAACGTAATTTCCCACTCGACGACAACTGCAGTCTCGATGGATCTACAGAAATGCGCAAGTATAGTTGTGTACGGTTTTAATAGAGATGACGCTTAGCTAACTATTTACTAAATGGTTACAAAATCCAGATTGGCAGTGGCGATATTTCGATTTGAAGGATAAATTAATTTGAAATTAAGCATACGTAGATAACCGACGTCGTGTTTTTTGTCTAGGTTGCAGTGGTGAGTAAGAAGGGGAATGATCTTCGGAGGAATGTTGATCACTATTATCAAACGTCGGGTTCTGATACGCTGCGTTTACATCCATAAGCGTACAAATATATCATTGATCTTTTTGTATACTTACATGACATACTTAGTGTGCGTATACTGTAAAAACAACTACAGTTACATAAATCCTATCGCTCTATGTAATTCTTCTAAAAAGGTCTCAAGATTGTCCATGCTGGTAAATTGTCGCAATAGCAAAATATCATTGAAGATTCGTCATATCAGATTCAGATTTGTGTAGTAAGAACAGAAGGTCTACGGCCTATGTTTGTTCTTTTTCTAGTATGCTTTTTTGAGTGTCCAGTCTTCTCTTGAAAGAGTCCATTGAACGTGCGGACACCACTGCTTCGGGGAGCAGGTTACAAGTATTGCTGACTCGGTGTGAAAACCTGTATTCAGTACATCAAAATTAGATCTCCACTTAATCTGCGATAGGACAGAGTAAAAAGGTCCAGCTTTTCAAGTCGCTCCTTGTATGGTAAACCTTGGAGTTCTGCAGTTGCACGGGTAGCTGCCCTCTATACTTCTTTTGAGATACCCGGGTGATCTTTTAAACAGGGTCTTGCAGCCTGAACGCAGTTCTCAAGCTTAATTCTCACTAAGAATGTGTATACTGTGGTAAACACGGTAGTATCTAACTTAGTGAATATCCATTTTAAAGCCCAGAGGGTCCGAAACCATCCAGTTATTACTCACTATATCTTTACATCGTCAGCGTATAATAACATTGGTGACTGTACTATACTTGGAAGATCATTAGCATGCATTATTAAAAGTAAAAGACATAGGACGGTACCTTGAGGTACTCCACTATGTACTGGTCTCCAGATAGAACACCTGGAATTTATTCTCACTTTGTCTACGACCTACTAGGAAATCCTTAATCCATTTTAAAAGGGGTCCAGCAATACCAAGGTTTTTCAACTTCAATAGCAGTCTATGTGTTGGCACATTGTCAAAAGCCTTACTGAAGTCAATGTAGACAACATTCACTGAGTTTTTGTTGTCTAGCGCTTTATCCAAGATTCCCTTACTACAATGAGATTCGCTGTACAAGATAGACCGTTTCTAAAGCCATGCTGTTCTATGTTTAACAAGTTATCGTTTTCCATAAATGCCATTATGGTCCATTTGACTATTATTTCTAATATTTCAACTACAACACTGGTGAGGCTTACAAGTCTGTAGTTCGATGGAAGTTGTTTTGGGCCTGTTTTATGTGTGATAATGACGATCGCGTCCTTCCAGTCCATAGGTAACACACCTTGGTCAAGTGACATATTGAATATCACGGTCAGTGGGGCCACGATGTATTGTGCAATTTGTCTCAAGATTTTGGGGTGTAGTTCATCTGGTCTTGTTGACTGTTCCATGTCTAAGATGCTAAGAGACTTAAGCACATCGTCTTGATCAGAGTCCAGGTGGTTGGTTGACTCTTCATTTTGGTCTGGTTCTTTGTCTAGAGGAGGTTCCTCAGTGAAAAGTCTCAAAACAGTCAGCCATAGCGTCTGCTTTTTCCTGATCTTCCTCTTTCATCTCAGATCCACTCCTTTCTTGAATTAGGTTGGAAATCCAATGATGCATCCTTTTTCTGTGGTTTATGTAAAAGTATATTCTCTTGAGCTGCTTAAGTGCAGATTGTACCAACTACATTTCATATTAACTTTTAGGTTTCCGATTTTTTTGTTGTACACTTGTTTCTTACCGACCTGTAGCGTTCCATAGTACCTGCTGTGTCAAGGCGGATGGCAACATCCCAACATTTCTTCTTTTGTATTAGTAAACGTCGAATATCTAGGCTTATCCGGGGACGGCCGTGCTTCTTTTTTTTTTGGAACTGTCCGGGGTATGTATGGTTGAGTTACCCGATTGTATAACTGCCTGAAAAGGGTTCATGTCTCTTGTACTGATGCCCTTGAGTCAATTCCCCAGTTTTCAGCCGATGCTGCGGAGTTGATAGCTTTCATATCTGTCTTCCATATATTAGGACGGGCCGGCGCATCTGTTCGACAGGCAATCTCAGCCATGAATTTGAATAATATGACTGCATGATCAATTCTCCTTGGTGGTGGGAGGAAATTCGTTTGATCGTCATCACCGTGTGTAAAGACTAAACGTTAAAGAGTAGAAGAGTTTCGTAAGTCATATCCTGAGGGATTTCTAATATGTTAGAATGAAGCTAACCCGATCGAGGTTTTTAACAGTTTGCAATCGAACGACGTAATCGATGACACTACTTCTAAGTTTACTCAGTTTATATACAGTGCATTAAAGTCGCCTACTACAAGGCTTTTACCCTTGCTACACCAGGACTTAAGTTTACTTAGGAGAAAATCATCTACTACACATTCTGGACTGCGATATACTACAACTAATTCAATATATTGCCGTCTACATTTCAGCTTACATTGTACCAGTTCACATGTCCCTGAAACATGTACCACTGTCCCAGCTGCTATTACGGTTAGAGTGTTTTTCGTGTACAGGATAACCCCGCTTCCTCTACGGTTTAATCTATCAGCCCTCTTGGATAAAATATCAGTCTACTGAACTTCATTATCCAATACTTCTGACGTTAACCAAGTTTCTGAGACGGCGATAACATCCAGTTTTTTTTTGTCCACCATTGACTTGAGCTCCTCCATTTTATTAAGTAGGCTGCGAGCATTTGTGTAGTATACCTTTAAGTCTGTGGAGAACTTTCCCTTACCACCCATAGTGGTTTGGAGAACGTTTTGCTCCGAACTTTTACAGCTTGAAAACCCTTAAGAACGAGGTTTCTTGCACCGTTTCGGCGACGCTCATTTATTTCCACTTCTGCAGTTCGTCTCTTAATACAATCAGCTAGGCTGAGATTCCCACGGACATATATTCCGGACCCAATCAGTTTATGTGAGCTACCTAGAATCAGATCCCTTTCTTCAACCGTGACAAATGTAACCTTCAAGAGGTGGTTTTTCTGAGGATTTTCTGAATCCTCCCTTTGTCCTTTTCTATAAAGTTTACAGATGCTAACTCCTGAAACTGTATCTGGTAGTACTTTGCTTATTAAGGACTTATTTTAACCGAGGTCGTGTTCAAATCTAGCCTTTGATTCCTTATCAGAAGATTCTCTTAACTTATGAAAAATGACTGACCCCTCAGAGAGGTCTGTCTTGACACGCAGTGTAATTTTTGTTTCAGATACCATCTCTTCCAATGACTTGCTAACCAGCTGCATTTTGCCTACAGCTTTGTTCTTCCCATTTTTTTTTCCGAAAAGAAGTCCATTTATCGTCCCTCAGGACAGCCACACCAGGACTATTTGGAACGGTGACAATTTTATCCGGGTCTTCAATTTCCACTAGATGTGTATGATTACCAATATCAAACGACACTTCACTCCTCGTTAATGTTAACGGAGATTTTACTTTTCCGTCAATCACAGTCGGGTGTTTAACGGGTCCGATAGCAACACATACTACACTGACAAATTCTTCACTGTCAGTGCTAGTGTTATCAGAGCAACCGCCATCGTTTTTCTTACAGGCCAAAGCCAATAGTCTCATATCCTCCTAGATAAGTAACTTCTTATTTGTACAGCGAAACATACAAAACCAATGCGAGTTAGGCTTCGAGCATCTTTTATATGCCGTAGGACATACTAACGTTTGTAATTTGATTAAAAATGTTTAAAACACAATATGATTACAATCTGAACACGAGTGTCAGTAAATGAGTAGAAAAAGAAGACATCACAGGACAAATTTTAGCAAAAACTTCAAACCTTAACCAAAGTACTTTTAGCTAAAATAGGCCAAGAATGCTTTTTGGTGCAACAGGTACACAAAGCAAGAATAATCACAACAAGTAAAAAATCACTGTCCTTTCTGAAACGAGCGCGCAGAGATGCATCATTACGGTGGCTTCACTTTCGTTACTTGAAGGATGGAAGTTATCAGTTGTCTTGATGTGACCCCTTCTGTAAAACCTTACGAATTGTCGAGGTGACGCACTAATCGTTTCACGTCGGTTTGACCTTCAAGTGCTCAGTGACCACCATCAGTAAACGATACCACTGAAGCGTTGCACTGGTCGTGGCCTTGATTATTCCTCCATCCTTTCAGTGCTGTTATCATGTTAGTAAATGGTGGTAGTGATGTAGTGGGAGAAGCTTCTAAATTTCACAAGCCAGGCGAAAATTATAGTTCTCCCGGCTACGTTGTGACAAAAGATACTATGAGGTTATTGAAAGAACACATGAAGCAAACCGGTGGTATAGTAGTTACCAGGTTTCCGCCTGAACCAAACGGTATTTTGCACATCGGCCACGCAAAAGCAATCAATTTTAATTTTGGTTATGCAAAGGTTAGCTGATACCACTGGGATCCTTTATTTTTAGAAACATGGTGGCATAACCTACTTGCGCTATGATGATACAAACCCTGAAAAGGAAGAAGCAGAGTTTTTCGAAGCTATTGAGGACATGGTTCGATGGCTGGGTAAGTCTTCAATAAATTAACAATTGTCAGGCTTTACTCCATACAAGATTACTTATGCCTCGGATAATTTCCAACAGTTATACGAATGGGCAATTAAGTTAATCAAATTAAAGTTAGCTTATGTTTGTCATCAGGCCGTAGAAGAAATACGAGGTTTTAACCCACCAGCTTCGCCCTGGAGAGACAGACCGATTGAGGAATCCTTGCGACTGTTTGAGGATATGAAAAACGGCAAGGTATGCATATTCCATATCGGTTATGGATATTTGGAAGATTTATTGCCACATATCTTTTACATAGCCTTAGAAATATATTTTGTTGGTTGAAAAAGCACCTTAGTATCCTGATTATATTCTTTTGACGGTAATATGAAGACCCTTGTAATTCGTACTACCAACACTTCGAATCGCGAAGACAGCATTCATGCAAAATGTAAAATTAAACAAGTACTTGCAACGCAAAGTGCAGTTCGTATTCCTTACAGTGTGTTCTAAATCCGTTTTTAGTCAGCGCTTTAGAACACGTAGATGTACTGGGTGTACCTGATAGTCTGGATCTCTTGCATCAAGAAATCCAGATTAATAACAAGTATTTTTTTATGATATCCCAATGAGTAGAGTGTTGTATTTCTGACATTTCAAAACATATTATCGGATTCTTAATGAGATTAGCAGTGAATGTCGTTACGGTAGTATAATGTCCATACAAACAATACCACGTCGAACCATGGATTACCCGAGTTTTAATCATATACTATTCAGTTTTGATACTTGGAGGGCACAAATAAGTTTATGAAAGCTTAAGTTAACGTATAGTCCTGGTTTGAGTCAATGTAATGCCAAAATTTGAGATTTCAACCCAATGGTCATAAACAATTCTCTAAATATTAGACTACTTTGCTGACTTGTGCACCTGAGAATTATCATTTGGTGCTGCAACTTATGTTCATGTAAATGTAAGCATACACTAATTTGATCTTCGTATACTACATATCAATTATACAATTATTAGAAAACAATATGAATTCCTCACTTGTCCGTAGTTTGTTTTTCATCTACAAATCAACCTTTCGAAGCTGTATCTGAATTTTCGACACTATTACGTGTTACTTCTGTTTTTAACTTGGCGATGGTTACATATGAACTGGAGGGTATATCTTATAACGTATTACTTTGTATGCTTTCGTAATTCCTTACTGCTATTTAGATTGACGAAGGTATGGCTACTTTACGTATGAAAGTGACATTGGGCGATGGAAAAGTAGATCCAGTAGCTTATCGCATCAAGATGACTCCCCATCATCGTACTGGTACTGAGTGGTAGGTTATTTACTTTTCTGTACTCCGTTACAATTTAATTTAGGTGCATTTACCCTACTTATGACTATACTCATTGTTTGTGTGATTCCATCGAGAATATCACACATTCATTATGCACTAAGGAATTTCAGTCACGGTAAGTAGCAGCAAATAAAATGGTACATGTATAATACTAAGATTTTTGTTTAGGTACAATTTTTGTTATTCCCTATTGCAAAAGTATTTAGTTGTATAATGGTAGAACTCAAAATATACGGTAGTAAATTTAGATTAGTTTTCTAATAGACATAAGGCAGTAAGGTTTTTAAAATGCATCATTCAATTTATATTACCCATACAAAATCACTACTCATATGAAAGATTTTTTTACTGAAAAAGCGCGATAGAAAAAGTATATTCATCAAACCATGTCAGATTATCTGCATTACCTGATCGTTGGTTCAAATTGTTAACAGAAATATGGATTTCTCGGTTGTATCCATATTAAGAAATTGAAATTGACTGAGCAATGAGTGGTGAAACTGAAGATAGAATGCGTTACATCTATTATGTGTTTACTGTCAGATTTTGAGTATTCCTCTACTGCAAACGTTTCGGTTTTGGTTTTCACCTGTTCCTCTAGACTTTTTCCATTCATACACTTATTAAATCATCATCAATGAAGTGAACTTAGTCAAAAAGGTTAGCCTAATAGCATTAGATTACTTGAATGACTAAATGAACAGAAGATCAACCTTTTTTAATGTTAGACTAGCCGTGACAACTGTAAACTATAAATGATTTGATTAGAATGAACGATAATATTGTTGTAATTAAATGAAGAATAGTGGGTGGGATAAAGAGTGTTTATGAAGTCTATAGGTTAAACAAAAACTTAAATATTATTGGATAAAAGAAACATGATATGTCATCTCATGGCATTGTTGTAAATTCGAACCCACTAGCAGACAAATTTAATGGTATGTATCCAGAGAGATTCTTGTGAATAAGATCCTCTCCGCTCTTCTAATATGCTATTACAAATACTGATAAACAACTACAAATGAAGGTAAATAAAAATCCCTAGTCTAAGACTCTATAACTGTGCCTTTTGTTCCATATGTGATAGTTAAATTGGTGGCAGAAAAAGTTAGTATAATATCGATTTTTGATCGATGGCTACTTTTTGCGAGCTAGAATCATCCCCTTTGAATAAAAGTTTGACAAATACATTTTTATATTTAGTGGTGGTTAGTTGTGAAATCCCAATTATTGACTCAGTGTTCGTTAACAAACTTTATGGAATGGCCATTATCAATTTGAGTTCCTCGAATGCTTCCCACATTTCAAATAAATCTTCATGACAGTGTGGTTTTTTTCAGAATAACTCTGACAAGACGTTTTGTTTGTAACTGACTAGAAGCCGCTAAAATGAAAATGTTGACCCGTTTAAGAACTTTCACTGTAAATGGAACTTGATCATGTGCAAGAAATTCATTCTATTTTGTGCTTCGTACTCTTGTGGATTTGTAATTCTGGTGACCCTGAGAAAAAACCATCTACTTTGCGATTCATTTAACGCCCTGTGCTATGTTGACGAAATCAGGACTGTTGTGTCTGTAGCGCGTTCTTTTGTTTTGGGATTAGTCAGTCGATCAAGCCATTAAGCTTATTTAGTTGTTCATTATTCATTCCTAAGATGACCCATGTATTGTCAGTCATACAAGTCATAGGTAGATCCTACAACCTTGGCTTGAAACTCTCACAGGTTGGCTCACCTATTTCTCTTTTCTTCAGTAGTTTGTTTAGGACTGGTCTGCGTCAACACCTGAACTAAGGATAGGGAGTGAAGTCGAACGCGTTGACAACTTCACTTATCTTGGAAGTCTGATCAGCCCTAATGGGTTGGTGTCTGACGAAATCTCAGCACGGATTCGAAAAGCTCGTTTGGCCTTTGCCAACTTACGTCATCTATGGCGAAGGTGAGATATCCGTCTATCAATTAAGGGACGAGTATACTGCGCGGCAGTTCGTTCCGTTCTACTACACGGCTGCGAAACATGGCTCTAAAGAGTAGAAGATACTCGTAAGTTACTAGTATTTGGCCACAGGTGCCTTAGAAATATTGCGGGTATCTGCTGGGATCACCGGGTAAGTAATAGTGAGGTTAGACGCAAGGTATTAGGGAATGATGGTAAATCAGTTGATGAGGTTATGAATCTTCATCGACTGAGATGGTTAGGCCATGTGCTGCGTATGCCTGAACACCGATTACCACGACGCGCAATGCTGACTAGTGTGGCGGATGGTTGGGTGAAAGTTGGGGGCGGCCAAATCAAAACGTGGCATCAGTCCCTGAAGACACTTCTGGTCTGAGCCATGTTGTTAGATGCAGACTACCTGATTGGGGTCCACATGACTATCGTAACTAATGGTTGGAGACTGTTGGTGACATGGCTCAGAATCGATCACAATGGCATAGGTGTATACACTCTTTGTCTTTCCTCAAACTATGGGATTAAAATCACTTCATATCGTACCATAAAATAGAAAATAACATTTGTACAAGATTTGACCTCCAGGAAATGACACAAATAAATATTGACCAACGGGAAAATGAAACGTTGGAAGAATATTGACCAATGGGGAAATGACACCATTTCTCATTCAGGAATAGCATTAGATAATTTCTGGGATATTTTTCTGAATACTCCAACAGATGGTGACTAATTTTCCCAGTTTGGTGTCATATCTTTATTCAGCTTATCAGTAGCGAAGTGTTTTTCATCATATTGTAATTTATGCATTCAGAGATATCCTTATTTATTATTCTAAAACCGAGTTCTAAAAAGAGCTGTTCGATCATTGAATCTAATGGGAAGCAGCCGTCATTTTCATCAGCTTATTTACAGTGTTCCTTTACCCTTTTGATAACAAATATATAGGGGCCCCTGGCGTGATAGAACGTTTGTTCGGTTGGGTCATAAATCTGAAGTTGAACCAACTCTTCGTATCTCTCGGTATAAGCCTTAATTGAGACGGCTGATTGTGTTAATTTTTAAACTTATATCATTAATCAGTTTGGCTTAATTCATTGTTTAGGACACGAAATTTAAAGCCTGTAGGTAAGGCTCCCAAATCTAGTTTGTTCAAGCGAGTATTAAAAAATTCTTGATGTAATTTCTTGAACTTGTCTAAAGGATGTGTCTCTCTAACTGAGGATTTTCAAGCGAGTGCGAATGTGAAAAATAATTCTTCCTCATTAGTTAACTAAGAGATTTTGTGCATGATACTCACAAAATGCCATTCATAAGATACTTTACTGATACAAACTAGTGTTTAAGTAAAGAATTTAAAGACTACAAAATGGAATAAATTACTGGTTGTGATTATTCTGAGAGCGATTCGATTAAAAGTGATGGGTGGTATGCCAGTCAACTAATAAGGAAAAACAATATGATGAGACCGAGTAAGTGTTTCCGAAGCTATATTTATTTATTTACAGTTTTCAGATACTAGGAATGGTGAACAATTATTTAGACACTTGTAGTCGTACAATTTCCCCTCTTTAGTAAACTAAAACTTGCAATGTTTTATATTGAGTTTAACGTTATCGAAAATTTCATAGCTTATAGTCAATGGACAGGGGACAATATTTAAAGGTTACTAAAGTAGCCTATAAACTAGGCACTTCAGATATCAACAGGGACTCAGTCTGTTATTTAGAGACATATGCCGATTTGTTTTTTAAACAGTATTTTGTTTCAGTTCTCACTATTTGTTATATATATATAAAGTTCAGAATTGTATAACTGGTAATAATGTTTTTGAATTCATTGTTTTAGACGTCCTGCCTACTATTGGCTTTGTAATTCACTTAATATTTATTGTCCAGTTCAGTGGGAATATGGTCGCCTCAATTTGTATTATAGTGTGGTATCGAAGCGCAAAATTTTAAAGCTGATAGAAGCCGGTATTGTTAATGACTGGGATGATCCACGGTTAGTAACTTTGACAGCACTCCGTCGTCGTGGATTTCCACCTCAAGCCATTAATATGTTTTGTGAACGTATTGGCGTTACTATGGCTCAAACAGTCCTTGATCCTTCTGCTTTAGATGCTTGCGTACGGGACTATCTGAATGATCATGCACCACGTGTGATGGCCGTTTTAGAGCCAATAATAGTAACTATTACGAATTGGTATGAACTGTATGGCAATAAGTCTTCTGTCGAGGTAAAATGATTTTTATTTTCGAAATTGTTTACATTCACTGTTTAAGTTGACAGCAAACTCAGTATACTTTACTTTTTGTTTTTAGCTTACAGTTGCGGATTTTCCTGCCATTCCAGACAGTAAGACGCATAGCGTCCTGTTGCAACAGGAACTGTACATAGAAAATACAGACTTTCAAGAAGTTGCTGAGAAAGGATATCGTCGTTTAACACCTAATCAACCAGTTGGTCTTCGTTACACAGGCCTTGTTTTAGAATTTTCCGATTTAAAAAAGGTAAACTGTACTGTCTTAGATTCTTTTATGTAATTTTTGATTTTGGTTACATTTAAATTTCATAAAACATTTGTTTTCTGATCATTACTTTGATGTGCATATAAATGTAATAATACAAAATTTTAGACAATATTTTTAAGTACATGTTTTCCAAAAAAAATCATACATTTTTATTCAATTACTCCGATAGAATCGTGATAACACGTTGCTACGCTCCTTGGCGTCACAAGAAATTACCTTACATTCGGAATTTTTTGTAAAAATATATCAAATTAAGTTTTGAATAAAAGTAACTCTGAAAGTCATATGTATTAGTTATCCAAAAAAAACGTTTCGTTTGACTTTCGCATCGCAAACAGTACTCTTGTAGTAAACAGAACACCAGTAGGGACAATCTAATGTATTTGATATAAAATTACAGAGCATCTCAACAAAATCTGAGAACCATATAGTAAATCGTCAATTTGCAAAACATTAATCCATCATCTCGAACTTGACTGTTCCTGTTGCAAACATCAATCCATTGTCTCGGATTTCATTGTTCATGCGTTTTCGTACCGATTGCGTTCCATTCCCGTTCTTTTTTCATCAGCCTTCTACTGAAATACATTCTATGCCTGACCACCGTTACATACTACTTGTGTGGATATAAGTAACCCACACCACATTTAAACTCAATGATCTTGTAGAATCAATCCGTAGCACCATAGTAAACGTTGTATTTTTCCAGTTTCTCATTCATCGAATGTGGTGCACAATACTTCTGTAAGTTTTGGTTTTTGCTTAATTTCTATAGTCGTTAATGTTACATTGCTGAATTATTCTCATTTATCTCTGAATCGCGCTTTATATAGGATTCCGATGGAAAAATATCTCATTTATTTGTGAAAGCCCAGAAGGTAGAGGATTCTACTAAGCCAAAAGCTTTTATACATTGGGTATCCAATCCTCTGCACTTTGAAGCTCGACTGTATGACCGATTGTAAGTCTAGGTTTATAGCTTATGTATAATATCTCAAAATTAATCATTCACGGGGTCAGTAAGGTTTATTATCTGGTGTTTTAGGTTCACCGTCAAGGAGCCAGAAAGCGAAAAGAACGGATTCTTGTCTGTCATTAATAAAGTATGTCTGAATAAATCTATATCATTTTTACTATGAATTAAGTTTTTCTTGTTTTTGTGGAGACAGGCTAGTTGGACCGTTATACAAGTTCGAGAGAAATATTAAATCAGTTATGTGATAACAATTTGTTATAATTCTCTCTTATTACAACCCAACTATTCCTATTGCTTAGTATTCTCGGACACCAATTCACTCGACGAGTCCCCAAATCAGAACACGTCGAACAGGAAAGAGATTATATTCCAAATAATAAGGTTAGATAGAAGTAAGGAGCGCAATAGGAAAAACGTTAGTATATTCATAGTTTTTACATAAGAAGATTCTAGAGTGTCCTCCAAGTATTGAATAGCGCTGATTGGATAAGAATTAGACAGTCATATATAAGGTATTATGACTACCAGCTTCTTGTAAATTTCAGGTTAATTTCTGAAGACTTCTGATTTTTCATCTACATTAACCCATTAAACTATGTTAACAACCATTGTGATATGTAATTTTGCACTTGCTTTTCATCATAAGACTATAATATTCCGTCTAATAAATCGATTCTCAGTTTTCATTTAAGTACCACCATTAAGTTGGTTTTATTCATTACCAGTTGTTTTTCAACTATCCATTAAATTTATGATTTTTATCTTAAATTCCAACTAAATATTTTTGCGGTATTGGTGCTTGTTAGATGAAACATTTTGAATAATTATGCACTGATTATCGAGGTCGATAAACCTCAATGGTTCTGCTTCACATAAATGTCTAATAGAATTCAACGATAAGCTATCACTTATCGTTCATAGTTCAGTATCGATAATGTATTGAGAAGATAGAGTCGATCTGGGAAATTCGATGTATTTTCAGTTATGACTTTGTAAAAACTAAATAATTTTCAGTTTTCGTATAAAATACCCTCACCGGGGTTTTTCGAGGTGTTGCGCAAGCACATTAGTTTTTTTCCAGGTCACTTTTGTCTCTTATTAAACTTCAAATTATATTTATTTGTATGATCCATTTTCCATTACGTGAACTATACGCAACCAACTTTCACGCTGTTCAGAATTCATTAGTCGTAATTCCGGGTGCTTTGATTGAACAGTCTGTCAAAAATGCTGAGGTTTACACTGCCTATCAATTTGAACGTCTTGGTTTCTTCTCTGTGGATCCTGATACAAACTCAAAACGTGTAAGTCCTTTATTCTCTGGTAGGTAGTATTTGTACTGTTTACTATGAAAAAATCTCAGGTAAACCTTAAAAAGACTACAACATATGGTGATTTTGTATTACATCTTTGAATTCTTACCACCTTGTTTTCAACTCATTACTTAGAGTAAACATCAGTGTACATCTGAACTACATAAAAGAATGAAACATCTATCTAGTAAACTATAGTTCACAAATGATTACTGATTTAAATGATTCCCTCTATTAGGGTTTAAAAATTTGGATAGTAACGTCTACTTTCATAGAATTTGTAACTCATGGTCTAACATTTACTCAGTTGTATTATCATCTAATGAGTGCCATTGTACAGTATTAATCTATGAAAAGAGAATTGGCTTCTGTTCATTATGAAAAAATAAGGCGGTTTTACTTCCACTGTAATCATCTTTATGCGCCACATCATTATTGCTTTCTTATGTTTCTATTTTGTTTTAGATGGTTTTCAATCGAACTGTTGCTCTAAAAGCCGATCCTGGTAAAACAATTTAATATCAAACTGGTTTTCAGGACTATGGTTGTTAATGTTAGATTAAACATTATGTATAGTGCTATGTGACTTTTAATACATTTCCTACGTTGGATACCCTTTTATCTTTGTTGCATTTTTCACACTACACGTGGCCAGACATTTTGAGTGTCGGATAGTTTTTAATCAGTGATAATATCACTTCAAAGATTTCGCTTTATGGGTATATTGCCTGTATTCCTAAAGTAGTTTGTGATCTTCAGGTTTTAAATATTTAGTAATATTTTCGGTCGCCAGATGATTATTAGGATATTCGTCTGTGAATGAGAAATCGCAATCACATTTGTTTATCTTTATTAAGATTCGTGTTTAAACCCATTTGCAGCGCAGGATGGTACTTAATTTGTATCGATGTTGACGAGATTCATAATTTTTGTTTAAAAATAGCCAGTTATGTAATACCAGTCAAGTAGGCAAATTATGTTGCTGAGCCTTACTGGACGCAGGAAAGCCACATTAAGAAGATATATTGGTGTTGAACTCGGTGATGAGAAGGTCAAAGGTAAATTCCAGGAACAACTGTAGTCACACTTAGGCAATTTTGAAAACGAGGCTGACCCAAATGTTGTTTGTGAAGATATACGAACAGCTGTAGAAACAGCAGTGACATCTATTAGTGATTTATACCAAAGGGTTACAAGAACCAGTGGGTTTCTACCAAGTCTACCTCACTAATAGATTCTTGTAAACTCATCCCATCAGGCTCTGAACACGATTAACAACGAAGAAAAATCAAGTCTACGTTAACGAAAAGTCTAAGGAACGACCATGAGCAGTGGTGAGCAACGAAAGCAAATGAGATGGAAAAGGTATCGGTTGTAGGTAACACAAGATAGCCTTCCAGACTCATAAAAGAAACTGAGATTAAGAAGTTACGTTTGAGACGATCTCGGAAAAAGCCGACACTTATCTACTCTCAGCCCAGATGTTTAGAACGATGGGCGGAACACTAAGGAGCAGTTCAGCTACCCACAATTTCCAAACATCCTGAATGGAACGCTTAAATAGACCCCTCGGCTCTATTTGGAGTTCAAAACGCTATAGCTAGTCTGAAACTAGAAAGGGTAGCTGGTCCAGATGGATTTCCTCCAGAGGTCTTTAAAGATGGTGGTCCAATTTTAACGATTAGGTTGACTAATATTTTAACTAAAATCTGGGAGTTGGACGTAATCCCCTCTGATTGGTCACAATCACTGATCGTCCCAATATATAAGAGAGGGTCAAAATCATCCTGTGGCAACCATAGAGGGATTAGTTTAACTAATATAGCATCTAGAATACTAGCCTGAATAATTATCGGACGCCTAACTAAGACTCATAAACTGCAAACACGAGAGAATCCAGCTGGCTTCAGATCTGGTCGTAGCTGCATCGACCACACATTCGTCAGGTTCTAGAACACAGGCATAGTTATCCGCGTCCGACAATGGTGGTCTTTTTTGACTTAAGAGCATCATTTGACTCTGTAGACTGAGAGGTTCTGTGACAGTGTCTGTCATTGAAAGGCGTACTCAGAAGTATATAAACCTTGTGAAGGCTCTTTACTCGAACACTACTAGTCGAGTCAGAGTTAATGGTGAACTGTCATCTGACTGTGCAACCTCAAGTGGTGTCTGTCCAGGCTATTCATTTTCTCCATTTTCGTTTAACTTCATCACAGATATACTGATGGAAATAACTCTCTCATCGACTGAATTTTCTGGCATTGATCTCCTTCCTGGAGGTCCACTTATCGACTTAGAATACGCAGATGATATAGTCCTGTTTTTGGTGAAAACACTGATAAAATGCAGTGTTTTGGTAGCACTGAGCAACACTGCCAGGATGTTTGGAATGCATTTCTTCCCTCTAAATGCAAGTTGTTGCTTCAGGACCATGTTGGGACAATGTTCAAGCTTGCTCAGGATTCTTGTTCGGATGTCAGCATCCTCGGGTGAACGCAGACTACAGATAAATACTAGGCATTTAAACTGGTCTTCAGTCATGGAAGACAACTTGAACCTCTCACACTCTCGGTTCACATTTCCTGTATGTTTCACCCAGTCGTCTCCCGGTTCTTTCGTTATCTTCAAGCATTGGTAACGGAGATGACTGTTCTCCAAAGATTTGAGACGGTTTCAATTGTTTCATCAAAACTAAAGTTTCGTGGGTTCTTCGGGGGAATGAAGTTACTAAGTCGTTCATGTTCCATCGTCCCAAGTTTTCTTAGAAGTATTCTGACTTGAGGCGTCATCAAGTCTGCAGAGATCAGTATAGAATAAATCTTCATACTTCTTAAACCAAGAATCAAAATTTATACCTGCTACACCATCAAAATTAAATTCATAGATGGCATTAATGATTAAATCAGTATGAGATACTTGTGATTCACGAGAAGCAGGGTTTTGCTGGAATAGGCACAATTTCTGTATCAGGGCTTCCATGATTCTGATTTGGGACTGTTCAAACATCTTGTCTTGACGCTCCATATAAGCTATTTGCTCCAAAGAAATATTCATTGTAGTTTTCCCGTCACCATTGATAAATCTTGCTAATTGAACGCTATATTCGGTTCCTAATTTATTCTCGCAACTCCCAAGTTAAAACTATACAGCGACCTGAACACGAGAGAAAAGGCGCGAAATGTGAGAGAAGCACTTTACTCCAAAAGTTCATTTTAGTACAGAAAATATTGGGTTTTTATAGTATTTTAGACGTCCTTGAGTTTCCCTAAAATTCTGGAATGCTACTGAACATAGTAGCAGTATAGTAATCATCCAATCAGAAAATCCACATGTGACTTTTCACTTTCTTGATGTTTCTGTTTAAATTTCTATTGAACGCTTCTTAGTGTTTCCTGAGCCTTTATTGTCTTTTGCGAGAAGCTTTCTAGATCATCCTAACACTCTCTTGTTAAGCAGGTTTTATAGCCGAAACAAAGCGAAAGGTTTATAAACCTATCTTTTAGTGATACCCGATATGGATTTCAAAAAGAGGATGGGAAAAATGAGTAGCTCGGTATTAAAACATCTTGTTGATTTCGGTCACATAGCCAGAAACGTCTTTTAAAATCATCTGCACGGTCGAATGACCTTGCTGATAGGAAGCATAAATAAATAATTTGTTCATTGTATAGGTCTTAACAATTAAGTATTTCAAGCTTCAACTCTTTGCAGAAGCAGCATGCGTTATACTTCATTTTCTTCAAGATCGTAACACTTCTAATTTTTCATACTCGTTAGTTAGTTACTTACACTCTCTTCCAATTTTTAAAACTTAGTGATCACTTGTTATTATTGCCTCTACTTTTTCGGATTTCTTTTCCACCTTCATAGTTTTCAGGTGGACAATAACCTCTTATGCTTGTATTTTGATGTAATTGTTTTCTCCTAATCTTTGGATCGTTGCAAAACCTCTTATGACACTTTAGACGTCAGCTAGTTCATCAATTAAATTACTATAAATATCATAGTATGGATTGAGTAAAGGATATTGTTGAAGAGAAAATTTACTTCTGCGAGTTGTATTTATTTCGTTAATCTAAATTTATAATAAAATGTGTTTCATGTAACTACGTCTGAAAGAGAATAAGGTTTTCTACATGTCCAATTACCAGATACATTTTGAATGGTACACACGAAGTGAATGTAAGTAATGCATTGAAAATAATTGACGGACAAGAAACACTAATGTAATTCTGTTTTGTTGGAGTAATCGCTATCAAACGCTTCCGATTTAACTTGTGTCTACAGAAGGAAAGTGTGATTATCCTTTCCCTGCCATGACGATTGGATGTTTATCTGATAACCTCTATTAATTTTCGAGTTTTTCAGCCTTGTCTTCAACCTTTTCTTATTTGATTTCTATTTGCTGATATTCATCCTTTACATAACCTTATTGATGTTCACATATTTGTTTATTTTATCATGTTGAGTGATTACCCGGTCACCTACTGGTGTCATCAGTCGTGCATAACCCTTTTTATCCTGACGATGATTACCTGTAACTATAACACCTATCCTAATTTGCAGTACAATACTTTCCAACATATAAATACACATTGATATTAACTATGTTCGTTCATACACATTGTATCCTATACTTTATAATGATTCCAGTAAAGTTTGGAACATTTGTCCATGCTTCACAAACGAAAGTATGTTAAATATTTGTTGACAGTTATGTGATTAATTGTAATTTTAGGTTGTATGCAGCTGATATGAAACCGTGAAATTGACTGGTGAATTATCTTTTTATTCAAAATTTTATTGTTTTCGATCTTTATATAATCAATCTTCATTTCCTTTCGTATTTTTGTTTGTTTAAAAAGTAATTTAATTTATTGTATTACCTATCTGTGCTACACTTAATTTCTGCTACAGATATAAGACTATTAAAATCATAATTTAAGAATAGTATAAGGTGAACATTACCATTTATAACTATTTATGTTAAAATCTCTATATTGCTAAGGTATTGTACTCTGTATATTTCCTATGTTGAAATATTAAAGAATTTTAAACTAAATTCCAAACTACTATTTAATATTTTAGTAGTTCTTTATTGATATTCAAAATTACCCTGTAAAACAATCATTTTAATTTCTAAAAAGTAATTTAATCGCAATAAATTTTTAAAGACAGAATGGTTATTATAACACTCTCATAACAACAAAAAAACATTTATAACTAGAGAATATTTCTTAACACTTGTTTAAAAGGTGTTAGTATTCAATTTTATGGGAATAAAATCTTTTTCATTTCTATATTATCAATATTTTTTTTACAAAATAATTTATTCAGTGTTTCAAGTGATAAACAAAACAATTTCCTTTTTCAAAAAGAATGAAACAACCACTAAGGAAATCATACAGAAAAGTATATCATTATAGTCTGAATTTCCAAAAGAGTAAGCGTAATTACTTGTTTCAGATAAAGAAAAAAATAATGTAGATTTAAATTTAAATGTTTTGTCTTTTTGTAGAATTTGTTTTAAACAATCGAAATTTATGTTAAAATAATTGATAGTAATATACATGAAGAAAGTTTTGTTTAAATTTTCACTACTTTCTATGTATGCATGAAAT